GTAAGGAAGCCAATTTCTTGTGAATACTTCAACATCTGAAATTAACATATTACTGAAGGAAGCATTTTTCGAAACTGTATCGTCCAAGAGAGAATTCAAGGAGAACGTTGCTGAATGCTCAATTTGCTGCTGCTAAACGAATCAAAAACAAACGAATTTCTATAAGAGCAAAACGAACCGTTTTTCGGTCATGATCATAAGCTGCTTTTATGATGCGCATGTACTGATCGACGAATTTTTTCGGATACGATAAAGAGGCACCAAAATCGAGCAATATCAAGCGTGGTTCGCCGTTAATCGGATGACGACCAAACAAGAAATTCGACCAATTCGGGTCAGTCTATGGATAAGGACGAAAATTATTCGTTGAATTGATCGACACTCCAATTTCACAAAATCACCAAATGCTTCCAAACTCTTCTGATGAAAATGTTATTTGAAATGAATTTTTTGTGTTTCTGAATTCACCCAAATTGAACGGGATTTGCAAATAAAAGAATTAATGGAGAACTGAATCGATTGCATGATCTAAGCCAGTAAATTTAGAGTTATATAACGAAAAAACTCACTTGCATGAATCGCCAAACGAATACTTCGTGTAGGCACAATTCNCTAAATGAAATGGCCCTAGATGAAACCGGCACGTTGATTTCTTAAACAATTCAAGTCACCTAAACAAATCAACGAACAAGAATTATTCATACCTTGGGCACATAGAAAGCGTTGTCGTCGGCCAATAATTCAGCGAATTTCTTGATCGCTCGTCCTTCTCTTTTGTAATCACATTCCAGTTTCAGTTCCTTACGAGCAACCTAAACGTTCATCATTCTTAATGAAACGGGTCATGAATTAATTCAATGATCACCATGCAAACGTAACCAAAACAACGGCAATGGAATGAATAATAGCTTGAATTGAGCCATGAACATTTCGAATAATCGCCTTGTAACGAACAAATCGAACGTAAACGAAAGTTGCGTCTCTACCTCAAAACAACATTCAAAAACGTGATCCAGTTCATTAAACAATCGCTTTCTCTTACTCATCTGCATTACACACATACCAAACGACGCAATAAACACCACTAACAGTGGCAGTTTCATTAGAACATTAGTAATAGAGTGAATACCTCGACAAAGTTCTCCAAATAAAGACCTTTCGGAAAGATACCACCAATATTGAGGACAGTAATGAGATTATTGATGTCCGAATCAATGCCTTCAGCAACACCCGGATATTGGATTTTGATGGCCACACGGCGACCATCCAACAATTTCGCATGGTGCACCTGTATCGTGATACAATAACGAAAATGAAATTTCAGTTGAAGAGTAATTCAACTGAACGTTTACAAACAATCAAATAATGGCAGTAGAATAGGCATCCGATTTTCGACATTACACGTGTAAACACAAGCAATCTTCACGTAATCATGCCGCAAGAACTATTGAAAAATTGTGAATTGATTTCAAATAACGAGCGATTGTTTAACGGCCACACGCTTACTTGTCCAATAGACGCGGCCGCAAAGGGTTTATCATCGAATTCCATGAAATTATCTCGCCAATTATCACCAAGATCTCTCCTCAGCTGTCGATGCACTTGTCGAACGGGCATAAAATCGGCGCTGTGCCGTACTCGTTCGAATATTTTTTGCCATACCGGTGAAATTGTGTCCGAATCTGAGAGTAAATCAACANGCAAACAAATATGCTATATACACCTTGTATACTTAACATCTGTCCAAGCTTGAGGGCAGCACCACGAACACGACACAGTGTTTGAACGATTTTCTCGGCATTCGCTTGGGTCAACAGTGGATTTGTGAGAATACGATCGGCCGTTTGTGATTCATTAACCTCAAATTTGCACTCATCTCAACTCACAAACCATATTTTCCACTTCTTAGTACAATAATCGATATGCAATGAACCAGGTTGAATACAGATGTGTTTAAAGAAGCAAAGAATCAAACCAATGAGGATTAGTTACGAAACGAAGCGAAAAATGTCTTCTGGAGCATATCACTAACATTGTCTTTAGACGGTAACAAAAATGTATTTTCAAGAGAATGATAGTTTCCCTTCCCTAGCAATGAGTTTACCATACAGTAAAGGAAGGTTGAACAGTAAATGAGACTGCTTGGGGACGACTAGTTCAGAAGATAAATGTGTTCAGAAACAGAACCTTATTGAATGTGAACGCACGTCGTGTCACCTCAGCGGCCGCACCAGCTGCAAGGCCAACACCAAGTTGACCGAATGTGAGGAGACGAGCGATTCTCGAACTTGGCACTCTTCTCTCACGATTTTTCAATTCTGTCATCTCTGGGATATCCAATTTATAACCCTTAAATTTTGATACTCAATTCAACAATTAACGACAGCTAATCGCAAATAAATGACTCTTAAGTAGAATCAATCGTGGGCACAATTTCGCGAATCATTAATCCTTAGTTATCGAAATTAACGTTCTCGTCAAATACCGAATACTGCCGTTAACATATTGGTTTCCAACTCCGTGTATAACTGGGATTTTTTACATATAGATAGCTAAATAAAGTGAATGAATGAAGTAATAGGAAGGAATAATCTTCGAAACAGAAACACACAAAAACCTTCGGTAACTTTGGTTGATAAAATGATTTCTTCGGCGGTGCCGATGTACTCGCTGCATCTTTCCTGCAAACTTATCCATATTGAAGAACACTTGTGCTCGGAATATTCAAGTCATGTTAGAGTCAACGAATTTCAAAGCAAAAGCAAAATTTTAATTAAAAAATGAATAATGAATCTGGGTCATTGTTAAGAGAAGAGAAAGTATGCACTACTGATGATAAGATAATGTTGACATGGTAAGAAACCTTGGCAGTGGATGATGAATAGTGACTTCGTGAGTTGCTTTGCGCAACAACTGCAGTTCTTCTTCGGTTAGATCGATACGTTGAGGTTCCTGCAAAAGCGAATGATTCACCAAATCAGAAGTTATATAAATCAACAAAACACATGTTTGCGAATGATGACCAAACTCAAATAACGTTGAAAAAGTGAATCGTGCGAGAACAACGCTACATACTAATTGTGAGCAGAAAGAATTTCCCCAACAAATTATGGATACTTTTCTATGCGAAAAAAGATATTTCACCAGGAAACGAACGTTTTCAACAACTTCTGTATAGAGTGTAAAATCCTCAAAATAGACAAATCAGGAACGGTCAGCTCAATCAATTCATTATGTCCTCGAAAAAGCTTTCAACAACTGAATGTGGCATGTCGCAACGGTTCATCACGCATTCACATCACTTTCGTATGATAAATTTGATCATTAGTAAACTTTTTCCGCGAATAACGAATATAAATTATTAGAGTGATGATCTTTTGAAGCAGTTTCTAAATTCCAAACATTTTTTCTCATGAACTGCATTGAATGATCTCAGAATTCAAACAAAGATGTTAGTCGACTGGCTGTTAAGAACTGTATTAATTGAACAACAAAATCTGATAGATCGCAATTGACACGCTGAATCGGAATTTCGATGTATTATGATGCAATATTCGTCAAAACTAATTTCATCTGATTCCATAGAATTAAATCATGAGTGACTTTTCTTAATCGCACAATTCTTCCTTATGAAACTGAGTGTTTGACCGAAGAGGTTTCAAGTCGGAATTAGCACAGGCGATCTTTCTATTTACAATTGCATATCAATCGTTCATAATTATACGCTGTTCTTGTCATGGCGCAAAGCATAAAATGTTTATTGGCATAAGCAACATTTATCAGATTGCACAATGCACATACGGAAATCATTCAAAAAATTAATCACACTAATTAATCACTGTTAATGTTCATCTGAAAATATTCGTCAACGCTAGTTTCTGTCCCAGTTTTTCAGCTCTGAAAATCTCGCATGTTATTTGCTTGCCTTAAAAAAGTTTTACAAGAAATTCAGATCGCACAACAAAACTGATGAAGTCTCTAAGAACAAGATTTGAAAACCAAGCGATTGGCCGGGTAATAATTCACTGTTAGTTCAATTTACCAGTTCATCAACTCGAAGATCGATGAAGTTTACATCGTTAACTATACTATGCATTACTAACTATACTATGCAGATGAAAGTAACAAAACTTTGAAGGTGATCGATTGACAAGATAACATTCAGCAAACTGAATCATCAGAGAGAAACATTATATACTAAGCAAAAAGAATTTTCTCAACAACGATCAGATTTATCATTTGCTGTACGAAGCAACTGAAGATGCAAACAAACACTAAAAGTGTTTTTTTAGTGGCACGGCAGAGACGTATATTCGTAATCAGCTGTCATTACCACCTTCTCTAAAGTTCAAAATCGTAATCGTAAACTCAAACTCACATCAACGCTGGTTGACATTTGTGATTCGACTGCTTCAATCGGCTCAATGCGACCGGCATAACCTTCAATTATTCATCTGCGCTTATCGAATTCAAAATTCCGTATGCGTTCGCATAAAAATGGACAAAATGCTAATCGAAATGAAATCAGTGACATTTCACTTTAAATTGAACCAATCCGTTCAAGTTGGAATTTGTTATATGTTTCGATTGAAATTTTCATTCAGAACATGACTGCGTGCAGTAGACGTAGAGAACTGTGAGTCTTCCCCTACCGATAACTCAGAAAGCTTTCTCGCAACTAAACGTTGTCCATTTTCAACAAATCGTAACAGAAATTGAGAAACGTAGTGAACTGCATCAAACTAAATGCAACGTGAGCGATAACGCAATTCGATGGCGCATGAAAAAGCGATCACCTGGAATGTGCCCATTGAGCATCAATCCAGCGATGGACTTCACACCAATCGCCACCACTTGAACTCGCTCAGCAGCATCCCTCAACGTTGGTGGTAACCAACTACCGTACCTGACAAATGCAATAACTACAACAATCAAGCAAGCAGTCATCAACGTAACATAACGCACCATCAAA